CAAGCTGTCTGTAGTTTTGGAAATAAAGAGTCTAAGGTCTCACACAAGTGATGGGAGGCAAAAGATTGGAGTGCCGATATGTTTTTCAGTAAACACGCGCAACTGTATGTGTATAGTTTCCACATTACGCTTACTCAATGTATGTAAAATAACACAATAGATCTTGCAACCCATTTTCCCTGATTTTATTTCCCCTCCAGGGGACATAATTTTTTTTAACATATTGGGGTTTTCAAAAAAGGGGCAAGAAGCTTTTAAATGAATTTTAATTCATTTAATGAAGCACAGTATCAAAGAAATTAAAGAGAAGAATCAGACTAGAGTAACAGTAACCCAGAGGGGAGGGGGAGGGGGGGTGAGTACTCACCAAAAAGGCTCTGCCCCAGGGACCAACCCTTTACCCTTTGTATGTACCATTTTAAACAGAAAAGGTACCCCTTTTGTATACCCTCTTGTGACAAATGGTACCCCTTTCACATACCTAATTTTGAACGCTGCATCCCTTTTTAACTGCTGTAAATACACCATCTTTACAAAAACAGGTTTTCTTGTCTCTCACATCCATAAAATGCATCTGTGACTGATCTCATTTTGGTCCCTTTCATATACTTCAACTATAAAAACCCCTTCCCTTTCATGTACCTGAAGCCTGAAAAAGGCTTCAGGCTCTGTTTAGGCCATTATAGTACCCCCTCCTCCTGCACCGAGAACAGTACTTGATACAGCGATATTGTATGGTATGAATTGAACCAAACGTTTCGTGCCCATGAAGTGGTACTTTGATTATTTTACGACATTTTTCTTCAAAAGGGAGGGGTTTGGGATCTCATTCTTAGGGGGGCGGGGGGTTAATTGAGGATCTGCAGTGAGTGAGAATGTTGCATTCAATGCCATCCAATGGTTTTGATTCAGGAAAGGGTCGTCAGGGGTATTTCGCAGAAAGACAAATGGCCACTGTACGACTTTGAAGCAGTTACTGATTAGGGCGAGGAAAATGAGTGAATTAGGTTCCATTAGGGTCATTATACTTGTCTATACTGGGCAAACTGACCTGAAACAAATTGTTTCACAAAATAATAAAATGATATTATTTTATTTTCATGGATCAGTGAAACACTTCAATATCATGAATGCTTGCAGTGTAGTAGATCTAATAATATTAAAAGCAGAACCAGATTGTTAAAGTAGTCTTACTAATTATGTGATGACGTGGTCAATAACATTTTTCAAAGCAGTCATCTCTATCAAAGGAAACAGAAGAAGTTTGCACACAAGCTACTTGACTACTTCGATGTATGTTATCTATCATGGAAAAGTAGTTAATTGCTTTGTGGGCTAGACTCAGTATAGATTCGCTTGAGTTCCAAATATGGCTGTACATGTGCTTTGAGAGTTTTTGTCCCGATTGGCTTTTTTCAACTGCTGTTGGAGCACATTTTGTTTCCTACGGATAATTGTTTAGTAAAACGCAAAAAGGTGAAAAACGTCATGAAGTTATTACCTCCGTATTATTTCAAGCACCTCATGAGCATATAGTTCAAGTTAAGTAACGCCGTTATCGGTTAAGTTTGTTTTGACGGTTCTCTATCATCGATCATCGGCCATATTGGATTTTTATGGAGGTTTCCGCTGACAACTCGTTCCCAGACTTCCGTTCCCCGCTCCCCGCTCCCCGCTCCCCGTTCCCCGTTTTAGTAACATCCCCCCCCGAGGAATATTGTTCACTCCTTGACACTCGGCGAAGTTTCAAATTTGCCGCCTCGGTAGTCATCGGAATTTTGCATCTGTAAAGACGCTATTGTTTAAGTCATTTCACAAATGACCAAATATGGCCAATTTTACAACAGAAAACAATTAACGATTATTCTTTGAAATCGAGGTGAATAGTGGCAAAATATTTACCGAGCCGCGAAAGCGGCGAGGTAAATATTCCCAAAGCCACTATTCACCGAGATTGAGAAGAATAATTGTTTTAGTATATACACACGAAGTGATCTCAACAAAATCAGAAAGGAAACCATTCAAAAGTAGGATTTGATTGACAGATCAAATCACGCAGAATTTTCAAACATGGCAATTCACAAGTTTACTCATTTCGCAAACAACAGCGTAATGGCTTCAATGGAATCGCTAAAAGTTTGAACTGTTTCCTTACCTGAGAAAAAAAGTAGAGCTGTGTTGTTTTCTGTTGACTCGCCAAGTTTATAGCCAAAAGGGCATGTTGTGTCGTTCTTCGCATGAAGTGCTGACAAAAATGGCGGCTCGGTTGCTCGAGGTAAGAGGTCGTCTTCCTGTATCATTCTTTTTCCTGTTTACTTGAAATGTAGAATTTCTGCAAACATTTCCTTTTAAATTTGTTTGTCATAAATAAACTTCGATTTTTGAGCCAAAATTTTCTTCTTAGAAAACGCTGAGTTCACGAAACGGCTTCTTCTACGCGAATACACGGGAGTTGTAAACAATCCATCGAGCACAAAACTCCTGCTACAGTAAATTGAAAAACGCCGTATTGAATCCTTTCAAGTCTTTTCTTGCCTTAAAAAAAGTCAGCCCTAGGATTTTGTCGACTTTTAAAAGATCGTTCTCTAAAAAAAACAGGAAAAACACCGAGCTCACACATTATCCACTCGCTAGGAGGTGAATATTGTTGAATAGTCCGAGATAGCGAACCAATCAGATTGCTTAAATCACCAAGATCACTGAGTGTGTATATACTAATACCTATTATTTTCGAATTGGACCCGCTTTTCTTGATACGTGGAACTTAGAGGCAGACGAACCTCTCAATAATGATAATGACAATAATAATAATCATCACTAGTAATAGTTGATACTACAGGTGCCCCCGTTCTCTGTATTGTCGGTCAATAGCATTATTCTTGGTCATTGTGTAGCTCTTTGAAATATACCGAGTCATATGAAGATTTTCACATATACTCCATACAATAGGTGAGATAAAAACAGGAAACGCAAGGTTCCTTGTTTTACTTCGATTTACACATACAGCTTTGATCAAAACATTCTCAGTTTCGAGAACACTTTATTCCAAAACCATAACAAAAGATTTAATTAGAAGTTGGATTTTTCGCTTTTTCTCTTTCACTTTTTACATACAGTTAATTTTATTTGCCCGAAAGTAAGCCTTAGAAATTAAAAGGACGTTTGCTCAATTCACGCTCGCGCATATAGTCTCATTTAAATTTTTATAGCGGAAGGACATCTGTGAGCAGGGAATAAGTCAGCACAGAATTTGATTGTTGGTGAATTTCTGTAATCGTCTATAGTTCTGCTAGTGATAAGCTAGCCGTTGTTCACTCGTTTTGCTTGTTTGGGGCTGAGTCTTCAGGGGCACCCAACGTCAATTTTCGGAAAATATCTGTTCGGAAGACGATTTGAGACCTAGAATTTTCGGAACATTTGTTGTTAAATTTCTTGCTTGCCTGTCTCTCCTAGGATTTTCGAACATCTAAAAAAAGGTATAATTTCCCATTTTTAACGGAGTTTTACCCTAAAAAGGTCACCTGGAATTTTCGGGAGCCTTTTACCTGGCTGAAATTTTCGAAAAGGTAAGTTTTGATCCCTATGATTTTCGGAGCACTAGACTTTCCGCTAGAAAATCCGAACAGATAAAAAATTTTTAGGGGATAAAAATATGCCTATATCTACCGATTAAATACTAAAATACGTTTATCAATGCTATGTTTAAGTGGTTTTGAACTATATTCTCGTTGGGTGCCCCTGAGTCTTATTCCGGTCAAAGAGAGAGAAAGAGTGTCTGGCAAGGTTTCCAATCAAAGATTTGTGCACTCGTGTCTGGCAAACTCTCCAAGTGTTGAGTTATATACAGTTATACGCACCTTATAACTTCATCTACGCTTAACGAGTGACTTTTGGTCCGTAACTTTCAAGACAACTGCTCCACAGAATGTCACTGATAACACGTAACGCAAAAGAGTATCGAAGTATGATTGCACAATAAATGTCACAAAATCTACCTAAGCGCTCCCTTCGAGATTTTCTATCTTTACGTCATCCTAACAATCTCGTACTTGAGGGCGCAAACAATAGAAACGTCATCATAACCCACCGATTCCTCGCGGCCCCTGTTCAAGCAAATCGACATTTTTTCTAGCATACTGAATGTGTATTTCAACTGTAAGTGCTTTCCTTGATATGCACGCGAGTTACTAGAGTGCCTCCTCGGGATTTCGCCTTCTGGGCGAAATCCCTGCGGGGGCAATCAAGAGAGTATAAAGGGGCTAGTCTATTGTCCAAACACATCAATACCCTGTACAGCTTGCTCAACCGTATTGCAATTCTAGATTTGTTTGTCAGCCTTTTTTCAATTATAACTTTTTTCAACTAAGTAGCAAAATAGGCATTTATGGTTTATAAAAACTTGCTTAAGGTATTGCTGCTGGGCATTCGCTAGCAGGTTTTAGCTGCCTTATTCTCAGGGCCTAGCTAAATGGGGAACATAATAAGATTACTAGTTAGGGATCGAGTGCGTAGAAAGTTTGTTCCCAAGCTTCACTTATAAGCTTGCCTACGATCCACATAGAGTCGGGGTACGAAGCAGAGGTTCTAGTACTGGCCTAAAGCTTGTAATTTAGTTTTTTTACTAGAGAACATGGAGAACTGTCCGTGGGTCTAAATTAAAAAGTGAATCTGTTTGGTACAAGCTACAATGGAAGCTTGCAGCAGTAATAATGCAATGATGGCCTACAAAGTGGTCCTAGAAAGACTTGGGCAAACCTAAAAGCGGACCTCCCATACGAAAACAAAGCCGGATAATAGAGGAGAGATTAAAACGATCTATAAAGCGAATGAACAGCTACATCGTTATGTTCAAGATTGTGTAAGGTATTAAGCTTTGCAAAACTGCACATTCTCTCTACCCGGGTAAATATAATAAGAACAATAATAATAATAGTAATAAAAATAATAATAATAATTAACAATTATTCCTTGAGCCCGAATGGGCTTTTCTATTTAGCAATATGTGGGAGTGTAGATGCAAACATAAGGAAGAGATGAACAAAAGTAGGAAATGGTTTAAGTTAGATCCTGATCAATGCTTCAACCATCAGTCACACACACAATATGGTGTGTGAACAATGCGAACAATTAAAGGCAACGTTGGACGAGATGGAAGAAAGTATAAAGAAACACTCCAGCCATCTTTACAGCCAAGAACAAAAGCATGATCTTTTTTACGATTTTGAAAGATCTAAGAATAGCATTTTTCTTTGGAAATCTCATGCCTTACGTTCTGTTAACCAAAAATCTGCTAAACAAGAAGCCGTCCAATCAGTCCTTGTTGTTAATGACTGGGCGATGAAATTTCTTCAAATGAAATACAGAGAAAAACAAAGTGAATTGTTTGCTAAAAGAGGCGTTAGCTGGCATATAAGCAGTGTGATCTCAAAAGACCAAGAAACTCAGAAAGCTAAGGTCCTGTTGTATGCCCATTTATTAGATTCGTGTTGTCAAGATTGGTATGCTGTTGTATCTATTTTAGAAAACCTTTTTCAAAGCATCAAAGTAAATTTTCCAAATTTTAGGCAGGCATTTCTACGTTCTGACGAGGCTGGCTGCTACCATTGCAATCAGCAGCCATCAAAGATATTGGAGATCGAGTGGGAATTACAGTTGCACGTTATGATTTTTCAGAACCCCAGCTAGGAAAGTTTGTTTGTGACAGGGTGCTTTGTCCCAAGAAAGCAGCAGTAAGAAAGTATTGCGCGGAAGGCCATGACATCACGAACGAAGGAGCAATGCACGAGGCGCTTAAGGAACGGGCTGTCAAAGGAACAACAGCGGCTGTAGCCATTTTGGATGAGTCATCCAAAATTCTTGAGGTTCAGAAGATAAAACAATTTAGTGAGTCGCACAACTTTAGATACGAAGAGAGTGGGATAAGAGTGTGGAAAGCTTACGCTGTTGGGGTCGGCAGACCTATCCCTTGGCAATCTTTGTAAATACGGCACCAGGGTTGCACAAATATATCAATATATATCTTCACCAACACAGAAATAAGAGACCTTCATCGCCCAAGAAAGTGTCAAGCAAATAAAGACGACGTTGAAATTGATGATCAGCCATCGATGTTTGTGTGCCCTGAAGGAGGCTGTAATTGCACTTTTGACTCTTTCTCCGAACTTGAGTTGCATACAGACGTAGGAATACATGATACTAGGAAGTCGGGAAGTCTTTTTGATAAAGTACGGAAAAACTGGGCTGAAAAATTTTCTTTTATTGAGAACCAGAAGTTAACAAGCAACAAATCCTCCACTGGTCTGAGTGTTAACAGCACAAATTCTCGTCGAAGTATCGGATGGGCTCTTAACAAAAGTAGAACTGGCGGAGTTCGTTTTTCTGAGAGCGTGAGACGGTACCTTACAACAAGGATTGAAATGGGAGAAAGAACGGGCAAAAAAGCCTCGCCTCGCCTCGCTTCACGTCAGAGGACTCGCAGTCAGGATGCTATATCAAAGGAACAGACATTTGATATTACAGCAGATGAGAATGACGACATCGACGCCCTCATTGGAGACTCTGATCGCAACAATTTGCTTGACGATATTCAAAGCAGAATTGGACTATAGTATGTGACACATATGATCTTTGCGCCTATTACAAGGAAAGAAAGCTACAGGCCTTCAATGTTGCAATGCTCAAGACTATTCTTCGGCGCTTTGAAGTACCTTTCCGAACAAAAGATAAGAAGACAGACCTTATTAGGTTGTTAACTGAACGGAGGTTATCCAAGCATGCAACTGCTGAAAAGAGTCGACTGTCGCTTTTATCAAACAAACGGGACAACAATATTTCCTCTTGTAACTGAATCAATTAAGCTTTTATTGTGCAAGTCTTAGTTAATTTTCTTTTCGAAAATTCTTTGGCAGGTTGAGTTTTTTCGCATTTGTTATATGACTTTTACGCGATGACATGAAACGGTGACGCTTAATTCGATAAAATATTCATGTAATCTAATTGTTTTCTTATAAATCCGCCAATCGAACACTGTCACGCTTACTTCACTCACTGTTCATCACGGAATAACCAAAGTTCGATATATCAAAATTCCAGCTTCAAGGCTCCCTCTCCAACTGTCCAGACTGTCTCGCAATTCCCAGAAGAGACTAAAGCACAAAGAATAACAAACCAAATACAGACTGAAATATTACCATAAAGAGTCATGCTAGAATTTTCATATATCGAACCTAAGCTATTGACAACATGTAACACGGCCTATCAAATTTGCGATTAATGGGTGGTTGATTCATCACGCCTTAATAATGTACCATGACCTACTATTACTAAAGTTGCTTAAGTTGAGGTATCTAGACATTGACTGTACACATTTCCCCGTTTTCAAGCGAAAATAGCAATCAGTTTAGTCGTGATGGGAATTCATAAACACGTAATTAAAATTTGGAGGAGACGTAAATAGACACCCTATTCTGGTTTTCGATTTCTCGGCTTTTGGTACAATCCTCATTTTCACAATTTATCTTTAAGGATTACCGTGTACGCTTGTCCCATACAGCGTAAAGGTCAATTCGTGAAGGACTTGCCCGCTGTAAAATGAAAATACTTAATTTTATCTGTAAAAAAAAAAATGTTCGCTAAAAACGCAACTGCCGTGTGTCGAATAAAGAACGTACGGAAGGGCGAGACTAACAAAGGTTAGTGGCAAAGGTAAGTAAATTTAATGGTGTACACTTCCGTTTAGTTTTCCTGCCCAGTGGCATTTTTTATTATTTTTAAGCTTAATAATATCAATAATTATAACAAAATATTGTAACAAGCAAATGCGATGACTGACTTTCTGGTCCTTTCTCAAGTCTCGCCCTGTGACTATCCTTCGAATGAACCCACCAAATCGTGTCACATAACGCTAAGGTGGCAATAAAACGATTTATTTAGTAAATTAAAATTTAAAAAAGTTTGGCTGCTGAACTTTTAGGAATATATTTCTGAAGATATATTTATTGAAAAAGGAAGAAGGGAAAGAAAAATAATTTTTTTCGGTTAAAAAGACATATTTTACTTCCGAGGGGGAACTACTCTTTGGAGAAATTTACTGTCAAAGCAGCCGGTGTCACGCAACGCGAATTCTGCATCAATATGCAAATTTGAGTCGAAACCTTCAAGTCTGAATCGCGTTGTGCCACAAGTTTTATGCCATAAATTGATAGAATTCTGAATACCTCTTTATCTTTAACCAAAACATGTTTTTAGGTCTAGGTTAGTTGCCACTTTAATCAATAATAGACATATCTTGCAATTGCTTTTAATTTCCATGTCCTGCATGTTCTACCTAATTTGGTAGTACACAAGATGTCACTGATTTGTAGACCCTCATTGTCGCCGATATCATTGTCGTCATAATCGTCGTTCTCATTGTCTTCATCGTCCTCATAATCATTGCCAACGTCGCTTTCGTTGTCAGTCTCGTCGTAATCTTGATTTGTATCACTTTTCTCGCCGGTATCTGTCGCTTGTTTCTGATCATTTTCTTCGCCAATTTCCTCCGGTACAACATCATTTTCATGTTCGTCGTCTGATTCTTCATCCTCGACATCGTCTTCCTCGTCGTTTACCATATCTGCGCCGTTAACTAAAGATCTCGCAATGTGGGCAGCAACAATGTCTATATTGTCACGTTTAAGTGTGGTCCTTGAACATCTAATATTATGTTTGTCGAGGTAGAGATCAAGGAAGGAAATGGTTAAAAATAAGCGACGGGCATCACTCGACTCCAGCACTAAGTCGTATTGGAAGTAGTGTGACCTTCAGAGCTTCGCTCTAACTGGTAGGTCCTTAAGAGATTTTCCCTTGCGATAAGATATGAAGGGAGGCTCCTTAAAGATTTCTCTTAGTCGTTGCTGCATGGTTTTGTATAAGGTGCCATTTCCCCATAAGTATTCTCTTCAGGCTAGGTAAAGCCAGGTGGTATTGTGTAACAAAAGGTAGAAGTTTTTTGCGTGCGGATTTGTTTCTCTGTTGTAGGGCTGTTTTCGTTCCTGTCGGCAAATTTTCACAGAGAGGTACTTTCTTAAAATAGCGGCAGGGTAGCCTCTTTCTAACAGGCGGTTGTGAAAATTTCTGATATTCCTCTCAAACGTGACCTGTGAGGAATTAGTCCTTAGAAGCCTGAGCGCTTCCCCTTTGATGAAGCATTTTTTCACGCCTGGTGGGTGACACGAGTAGAAGTTCGTGTACTGGAATGTTTCTGTTGGTTTGTAATGTGTTTGCACGTCTAGGATTGATTCCTTGTCGAATCTAACCCCTTTGTACACTTTTGTGTCCAAGAACGTGATTGCTGTTTCTGACATTTCAGCTGTAAATTTTATCGTTGCTTGAAAATTATTTGCCTTTTTCACAAACTCTCTATTTTGTCTAGACTTGTGTTCCATAGCGAAAACACATCGTCGATATACCTTTTCCAAAAAAGCGGTTTGATGCAACTCTGACTCGATACTTGTTTTTGTATTCTGGCCATGAAGATGTTTGCAAAACCAAGCTAGCTACGACTGAATCCAAGCTCACTGAGCTCGGAGCAAAGGCCTCAAATATCTTTCAGGTTGATTATGCATGATTATGTTGATTATCTCGTTGGAAAAAAACAGAATAAACACCGCGCTGCAAAACGTAAGGCTGTTCGTACCTCTCCGAGGACGTCAGCAGTTTTGCAAAAGATCATTGAATTGAATTAAATTGAATTATTCATTATAATAAATTATTGTTTAATTATTTTTATTACTGAATTATTGGTATCCCAAAATGACACATCTCAGCTAAGCAGTGACGCGAAGGACTACCTCGCAGGGTTACTAGGCAAGGAAAGAGGTGAAGCAACTAATTCCTCCCACGTCGACGATAAGATCGAGGATGATGAAGATCATGATGATGTTGCCTGGAGTGGAACAAGACGAAAGTGATGATGATGACTGCAGCGTTTCTGTAATGCCCAAACCAGGAGAGGCATCTTCGTCAGATATTGAAGATTATGGTCCATATTGGAATGATTCCTCAGAGTCCATGCCATACCTGGATCATCTTTCAGACTAAATTTCGAATATTTACGTTTTTCCTTGTTCATTTTGCTTGGTTTTCTTTCCTTTTCTTCAGGCTTTAGCCTGATTGTATCCTTTGTTTTTAAACCGCCTTTGATATCAAAATATTTTGCCTATTACCTACCCCTGATAGGCAAGAAAATCCTCCAAAAACACCGACAACAGCATCGTTATCTTTTGGTGACAGTGTACATGATCAAATGTTTCTATCAGTGCTGTTTACTAATGACTTTCTCTAACGTTCCGTTTTTAAAATTGTAAGAACTTTGCACTAGGAATCAAATTCAGTTATTAAGTGTTTTAGAAAACAGATATTCTTTATAGAGACTTTTTGTAAAACAGGGCTCCATGTTTACATGTGTAATTACATAAAACGGATACAGTTGACTCAAATAAAGAGAATTGTGAGTGTGAAAACTTGAGGTAAATACTTACAGAATACTTATGAGCTCAAAAATTCGTAGCCCTCCCCTCAAAGTCATTTTTAAAAAAATGGCCCTCCCTAAAGTGAGACTAAAAAAATTGTAACCCTCCCCCCAAACACAGTAGCCCTCCGCTCCCCCGCTAAATAATGACAGGTCCCTAACGGCCTGTAGTAGCTTTCAACGATCGTTAAAAAAGCTGAATAACAGCGTCTAAAATTTGCATATTTTAGCCGGTAACGGTCGTTCAGAGATGAAATGCTGAGAATGGCAGTAAAATAAACTATTTCCTCACTCTAACTGCAATTTAGTTCTAAGGATGGATAGTGGTATTGATGATATAAATATAAGGCAAAAGTGTTTTCGAGCCTGAAATGGAGTGGAACGCTTTTAGGGACATTGCTTCTTAAATGCAGACGTAACCACTCAAACTGTTCGGTAATCGAACTTTATCGAACTCAATCGAACCTAATC